AAAAAGAAAAAGAAAAAAACTTGACGCCAAAGACTGTTAGAAACGTTTATATTCCTTGGCATATATGTATCATGTTGTGTGACGGAGTCCGCTCTCATAATATTCATCGTAAATTCATTTATGAGTGCCGTAAATATGAATACTCATAGAATGACAGCCTGTACGAGTGTTCCTGTTCCCTTGTTCACGAGAAACCGGGTCCGCCAAAGCCCCCGTGGAAGAGTTTCTGAGNTTATGAGTGCCGTAAATATGAATAATCATAGATTGACAGTCTGTACGAGTGTTCCTGTTCCCTTGTTCACGAGAAACCGGGTCCGCCACAGCCCCCGTGGAAGAGTTTCTGAGTATTAGGTAGCTGACTCGTGAGTCTCCAAGCGCAGCAGTCAAGAAGAGGTGGATCCGACTTGAGTTCACTCGGTTAAGGCCTTATATGGAAGCGTGATCCCATCTCTCCCAAGCCTCACCCAACACTAGCAACCCTCATTCTCGACGGCGAGTCCTCTGTGTGTCAAATAAAGTGTCAATAAAGGAAGTATTTCCATTTTCATGTCGTTATTCTCGAAAATGTAAAGAAGAGAGGCGGGAGATCACGAGAAAATGGTGATGTGGAGGTCATTTCCGAATCATTTCAAGGAAGAATTGCCGTCATGACAATAACGACAAAGGCGATAATACAATAACAAAACAATAACCACAATTGTCGTTTTGCTTTCTAGGGTTTCCAAATTTTCCCTGTTTCTTTAAGAGCTCTCCTTTATGATTCGGGTTTTATATTTATTTACATACTCCTTCTGCTGTGAGCACCTTGTTGTGACCCCATTCTGCCATTCCTTCCAATTGGTATGTTTCGTCCATTCACAATTTCCCATTCTTTCTACAGGTGCCATGTTCACTATGTCTGATCCTCTTTTAAAGTTGTCTCATGGCGGAGACTACGGTCAATTGCTTTATAACGTAGAGTAGTTTGGAGAGGGCTCGATTTTACGGAGGAACATATCGACACCATATTTAGGGTCGAAGAGTAAGCCAAGCAAGAAACCAAAATAAGCAGGCCTCAAGGTAAGCCTACCATCTGCTTCTTCTGGTTCCATACTCTCCGAACTGCAAGGCGTTACAACTTGTGAAAGCGACTACTTAGGGGGCTGAGGAGGAGATGGAAGGACAGTGTTAATGTGGATTAAAGATCACTAAAATTTGAGGTCCTCGGGCGGTGGTTACGAAGAGTCCTATCTGCTGGGAAATAACGCCCTGTAGTCCGTTGAAAGTCAAGCGAAGTTTCAGAGGAACACATCTCCTTCATCTTCAGGGTCGAAGAATAAACCAAACAATAACTCAGCATGAAGCAGGTAAAGAGCTCTACTTGCGTGGCTTGTACTTCAACCCTGAACCTGGAGGCAACATGTTCCTCTGAACTTACTTACTTACTTACTCATGGATCTGAGCCCTTCTGGAGGAGCCGCCAATTCTGCAGCTACTCAAGAATTTCCCAGCATTTTATGGAACCTGAAGGTTCATTACCGTGTTCACAAGAGCCCTCCACTGGTCCCTATCCTGAGCCAGATCTATCCAATCCATACCATCTCATCCTATCTCTCTAAGATCCATTCTAATATTGTCCACCCACCTACTCCTTGGTCTTCCCTGTGGTCCTGTTCCTCTGAAACGTGGGTCAATTTTCTAAGGACACAATGGTGTTATGTACAAGAAGACAGATTCATTTAAAGGGACAACGTGAGATGGGAGGTTCTTGAAGTAACTCAGGTCCGTGTCTAATTGTTTTTATGTAGGATTTCAATTTCTCACAGAGGGAAGCTATGAAGAATTCCGTCTTCTGTGAAACAAGGCCATGTTGTAAGGTGATTTGCAACGGACTGCGTGGCGTTATATTTCGTAAGATAGAACTTTTAATTGTAGTTATTTCTTGACTTAACAAGCTCTGAATATTTTGCAGCTGAAAGATGGACAGTACCAAGCTGACTTAGTAATTCAAATGGCTGATGATTTACTGCCTAAAGATATTAGCACGAAGGTCAAGAATGTGGTCCATAAGTGTCGGGATGCAGGCAACGGTAAGTTTTGACAGAAGATGTTGTCTTTATTAATGACAATGTAAGTATGCCTCTAACTAAGAACCGGTAAATATATGTTTAAATATCTACCACTGCTCATAATCCATACAGCTAATTGTTTTAGTTGAGTACATGACACAAATTTCGAA